GGAAGAGGAAGAAGAGGAAGAAGAAGAAGAAGAAGAAGAAGAAGAAGAAGAAGAAGAAGAAGAAGAAGAAGAAGAAGAAGAAGAAGAAGAAGAAGAAGAAGAAGAAGAAGAAGAAGAAGAAGAAGAAGAAGAAGAAGAAGAAGAAGAAGAAGAAGAAGAAGAAGAAGAAGAAGAAGAAGAAGAAGAAGAAGAAGAAGAAAATAGATAAATACATCCGACATTCTTTGGCACTATTTCTGGAGAAAATTAGAGAAATTAGGGGTACCAAATTAGGTCCAAATTACGATTTTGGTTCTGCTGGTCCTTGTTGCTCAGATGTTCTCCTCCATCTCATGTGGCTGAGATGTGGCCTTCAACTTTTCCATTTTTCCCTCCCACCCATCCCCCCCCAAAGATCCAGATGACAAATCTGAAATACTGAGAATTAACCAGCTTGAAAGCATCTAAACCATGCATCAGGGTTTACTTTTTGGCCTTGATTTGGGAGGATCAGCTCAAAGAATGAGGTCTTATTTGACTTCTCCTTATTTAATTTTTTTATTTTCCCTTGTGGGTTGGCTTCAAACACCTCTCTACAAGACCTGTTCAATATATATTTGTTATTTGGGATTTTGACTACACCCTGGATGTTTTCCACGATAACCCAAGGAGCCACATTTGGATTGTTCACCAAGTTCTATTATTATTTTTTCTTTCTCTCTCTCTATGCTCCTTGTTTTTGACTAGTATCTCAACGTAAAGGCAGAAAGGTGAGTGGGAAAAAAAAGAGATAAGAAAGCCAACAAAAATCTTTTTCAGATGTATTGTTACACTTTTTCATGTAGCTGTTCCATGTAGTTCCTTAGTTCTTTACATTCTCCCAAGTCCATGTCTTGACAAACCCACTTGATATCGTCCTCGCTGCTGGTCAAAATGGAGTTGACCGTTGGGTACCCACCATCGGAAGAGATGGTGGTGAAGGTGGTAAATTGGACACGTTTCCGTTTGGAGGTGGGGGAGGTGGCTGGTTCGTTCCTCTGCTCCTTCCCTTCCGGGGAGGGGGCAGAGTCCGTGGATCGGAAGACTTGGCCGTTGAGGTTCTTCTGAGAGTTGGCACTAAGGAGATATTTGCTTTCTTCTAAATCCATGCTCCGGTCAATGGCTGTAATGCATTCCTCCTGTTGGGTGGAGAAATTGAGGTGGTTCTCCAGCAGCTCAGTTCTATGACTCAGTCCCACCCAGTCATGAGAGTGTCTGAGGCCTTCTTGCTCTTCAAATGGAGCCTGCTTGTGCCTGTATTTCAAGGCAAAGGTGACACAGTTAATGAGGAACACCAAAATGGCCAAGCAGAAGACACCGAGCAAAGCATACATCCCAATTTCCAAGTCACTTAAGCCCCTGGGTGTCTCATCAGGATCGTCGTCTTCCACATCTCCATTGCTCTTGGGCAGGTCTACCTGAGCTGGAAAACTGGTGAAGTCTACCGGAAGACTTTGCATGTGACCGTCGTCATCTAGGAGACTCTCCCGGTCTTCTTTCTTACTTAGAATGGACTTCTGAGTAGTGCTACTGGCTCTGGTTTCTTCATGTCCCATGGAGGAGCTGTAGTAAGGTCCCTGTGGGCGAGATCTCTCCTGCAGGCTTGTCTTCTGACGCCGATCGCTGGTCCGGTTCTCTAGATGGACACCGTCTCCGCCAGGCTTACTGTCACTTGGGTTTGGGATGGTGTCGTTCTGACCAAACTTGACCTTGATGCTTCCAGTACCCACGGCCAGGACACTCTTCCTTTTGGACTTCTGAC